CTCTCTCTCTCTCTCTCTCTCTCTCTCTCTCTCTTCCCCTGCCTTTAGATTATTGGAAACATTTTATACTCATTAATGCTTCCTACTTGGAGGTAAATTCGATTTGCAGAACTTACTCCACGAGATAGAATGACAGGGGACAACGGTGTAGTGGTGTTGGGAGAGGGTGTCAGTGGTCAAAAGGGTTCCAAAATAAAGGTCAGCAAACAATGGCAAGCAGCATTGATGGTCATTATTTAGAAGCATGTTCAGGAGAATGAGTCCTTGAGCGCGACGCTTTTTACAAGTTATAGAGCGCGAGTAATTTAGAGTTGTGTGTTACAGTTGTATGCTGTTCAACTTATTGTAACAATTTTACAAACGTACAAAAAAAACCCCTACTTTTTCTGCTATGCACTTTTGACCCACATGTTCGTATGAAGATGAGTACAGACATTCTTTGTTCAACTGTGAATAATTTTAAAACAAATATATACATTTCAAACACAAAAAGGGGAAAAAATTCACAATGCTGCCACCCCTCCCAACTTTTGCCTGTCAGAGAACGTGTTCGGACCTCTGGATTGGTCTCGCCGAGACCTTGGGGCTCTCAACATTCAGCGTGGCCGAGACTTGGGTCTGCCCAGCTACAATGACGTCAGAGTGGCTTACGGCTTGCACCGGAGGATAAACTGGACAGACGTTTCCCCAGACTATCCAGAGGTATTTGTCTTGAAAAAGTTCTTCCTTTTCTTCTCTTCTTTTACTAAATGAATTTCTATTATATTTCAGCTCTTTGTACTGGGTGGATAACAAGGCTCTTATAAGCTGCTCAAACATAAACGCGGGAAAAAAGAGATTGTGCAATTGTGCCTATCTTCCTCAGCTCTAACATTTCAAAATTCAGGCTTCCATTTTTTGACTCTCTATCAGAACCATTGAGAACTCTCAATTATACTAGAACATGAGCGCAGACTTTCCTTTTAGCGTATTTTAAGGTTTTATTTTTAAAAGATATTCTACAATCCACTCGTAAGTCAACAAACTGTTAAGACACTATTCAGATGAACAAGAACTAAAATTTCCCAAATATTAAGCTTCAGTCCTTGATGACGCTGCTGAGAACAAGTACTTTATAGTTTTGAGAAAGGTATTTTATAACTCTTCATTATGGCTTGATTTTAAAGAACAGTAGCAAAGCACCAAAAGCAATGGTTGGAGGCGCCAAACTAGAATCTATAACATTGGAGAAGCTTCAATTGTGTCATGACGCATTAAAATCAGGCGCTTGTCAGTTTTCGGGTAAATAGAATTATTGGTATTATCTTAAAGTGTGTTCATTTATCTTGCTTTTGATTTTTAAAAACACCGATTTAGCTTGAGTGGAAGTCGAGAGCCTGGGAGCAAAGGAAATGCCCAGAAGACTGGCAGAAATCCATAGTGGTCCCATTATGGAAAAAGAAAGGTAATTAGCGGGCCTGCACAATGTACAGAGGCATCTCTTTATTAAGTCACGCAGGGAAAATATACGCAAAGATACTAGAACAGCGGATAAAATCTATTGTAGAGAGAAATCTGAGCAAAGCTCGCAAAGCTCAGTTTAGATTCCGAAATGGAAGAGGATGCACGGATGCAGTATTCGCATTACAGATATGTGAGAAAACAATCGAACACAACAAAGAATTCAACATCGTCTTTATCGACCAGGAGAAGGCTTTTGACAGAGTAAACCATGCAAAACTCTGGAAGACGCTTGAAAAGTATGACGTCAAAGGACAAGTATTAGATAATGTCAGAGTTCTATACACCAATAGCAGAAGCTCAGTAAGAACGAAGGAATGCAATGCAGACTGGTTCGAAGAAAGATCTGGAGTACGACAGGGATGCCTTCTATCTCCCCTCCTGTTTATAATATATATGGACACAACACAATAACACAAGACACAAACCAAAGCCAAGAAAGCCTAAATGAACTTTTATTCGCAGACGACAAATGTCTTACTCATCCAAACCAACAAAGCCTCCAAAATCACACTACCGAACTGAACAACAGCTGCGAGAAATATTTATTATGAAATTAAGCACATCAAAAACAGAAATTATGAAAGTGAGCCGAAACCGTAGTCCCCTGAATATCCATGTCAATAGTAAACAACTGAAATAGGTGAAGGAGTTTAAATATCTTGGCAGTACTTTTTCTGAAAACGGATCCATAGACAGAAAAATAAAAATTCGAACTCAGAAAGCCAACGCTGTCACGTACCACCTCGCACCTCTTTAAATAAAACCCATGAAAGCAAAATCACCAAATGCAAAATGAAATATCTCCGCAAAACCCTTAACATCGTAAGACGAGACAGGCAGAGAAATTAAGAAGTAAGAGCAGCTATCGGCATTGAGTCCTGCCTGCATTACATAGAAAGACATATAAAATGATATGGCCACCTGTTAAGTATTTCACCTGGCCAGCCAGCCTCGAGATCCAACAACACCAAGCACTCGGGCTATAAAGGAAGAGGTGGATCGAGGGTGTCAAGGAAACCCTGAGAAAACCTAATATCACAACTGGGAGAGCTGCGGAGTTGGCCTACTATAGAAAACTGCATCTCCCCTCGATGCTTAACGGCAACAGCGGATGAAGAAGTAAAAGTAAGTCGGAAGTCGAGATATTTGCGATTGGAGGAATGCAGTGGTGTCAGAATAGTGAGAAAATGGCCGCTAGAGTTAACTGATTTCCTAGGCTTCAGTGTCCTGGGAAACGACAAATTTACACATTTTTTGGTGCTTGTCATCTATGGGGGTTTTTTCCCTCTCAGTAAAATCCACACAAAATAGTGTGTTTAAATGGGCATAATAGTTCTTGGCAAAAAAAAAAGGCAAAATTGCCCCTCGAGCGGCAGAATGCCGGTTTCTTTGATTTCATTATTTTAACAAGAGCCTGATTTCACCACGATGCCTAACAATTGTTTTAATAAACGACATGAGGAGCAGTAAGAAAATCCAATTCATAGAAGATGTCTCATCGTTGAAGCGTTCTCAGTAGCATTTAAGGATACCACAATCCAGCTACGAGTGTCTGCGATTTTGCAGTGAGACGCTTCGCCAGCTTACGCAGAAGACCCGAGTTCAGTTTTCATGTAGGAAGAACTTTTTTTGAGAATCTCTATCTTTCTGTTACTGTTCGAACTTTGTATGCCTTTCAGGCCAGGTGGCCCTGGCAGGTAACGTCGTCGAAGGAGCCCGCCTCCTAATTCATATAAATTGTGTTGATTGGGGTTGTAAAACACCTACATTAAAAAAACAACTTTCCATTCGTCACATCTTTCTTCAATTCACAGGTCTTGAGGAAATTGTCAGTTCTGTACGGCAGCTCACCAGATAAGGAGCCCGATGACCTTGACCTGTTCACTGGCGGCCTCTTGGAGACAAATGCAAATGGCCCTGGACAGCTCTTCAGGCGCATCACGCTGGACCAGTTCCTGAGAATTCGTCATGGGGACCGCTTTTGGTATGAGAACAGACAGAACAGGTAAGTTGTCATAGGATAGCAAAAAGCTCCCCCCCCCCCCTTCCTCTCTCTCTCTCTCTCTCTCTCTCTGTCTCTCTGTCTCTCTGTCTCTCTGTCTGTCTCTCTCTCTCTCTCTCTCTCTCTCTCTCTCTCTCTCTCTCTCTCTCTCCTCTCTCTCTCTCAATTTATATGTTTATATATATATATATATATATATATATATATATATATATATATATATATATATATATAAATATATACTAGCTGGGCCCTCTTTCGATGAAAGGAATAAAAACAATCGAGTCATTGAGGAACAGTACGCACGGCTAGTGAACGGAAGCCTCACTTGTTTACAATGTCGTCTTAGAAAACGGACTTTCCCAAGATTAGATCTAAACGAAACTAATGAAAAACTAAAAATTAAACTTAGATCTATACGGGTCGCACACTTAATTAGTGCTCACTATTGCGCGACAACGCGCGATGGTATCGAACGGAAGTACGACTTGAAATAAATAAACCTGGCGGATTTTCTAAAATTACAGAGACAGAAGCGTCGGACTACAAAAGCGATATGCGAAATAAAGAAATTTAGCTTTTTGTAGCAAAACTGTCTCAAAACTGAAAAAACGAAGGGCGTCATGATCTGGAGAATGTTTTAAATAATGTTTTGGCGAAAACCGCATGTCGATCGATGCAGCCATTAAAAGGCCTTTTGAATAGCAAAACTCGGCCACCACAAATAGATAATACTAGCTGGGCCCCCTTTCGATGAAAGGAATGATCGGTGCTTTAATATCAACTGAAAGTCATTGGCCTACTATATTTACACTCTACTGGAATGGGGTAATATATTTTGAGAGATGCAAAAAATTAGGAGGTCTAGATCTATACTCTCAAAACAAAATGCGCCCGCGAAATATCACTTCCGGATTTTCTAAAATTACAGAGACAGAAGCGTCGGCCTACAAAAGCGATCGGCGAAATAAAGAAATTTAGCTTTTTTGCAGCAAAACTGTCTCAAAACTGAAAAAACCAAGGGTGTCATGATCTGGAGAATATTTCAAAGATCTTTTGGCGAAAACCGCATGTCGATCGATGCAGAAATTAAAAAGCCTTTTGAATAGCAAAATTCGGCCACCACAAATAGATAATAGACTAGCTGGGCCCCCTTTCGATGAAACGAATGATCGGTGCATTAACATCAACTGAATACCATCGGTCTACTATAATATTTACACTCTACTGGAATGGAGCAATGAATCTTGAGAGAAAAGCCGCACGTGTGTTTCCAAGTTGCCAAATATATAATAGATGCATAGATTGATTCTGTATTCCGCTTTCGAGGTTGTACAGAAGTGTGTTGATTGTTCCCAGTAGCAAGAAAAAGAATTTGACAAAGGAGTTCAGAAAAAGCGATAATGGGCATCAAACGAAAGGATCACAGTCGAATTTAGCACCTAGTAAAAAAAAAGAAAACATGAGGCTAGATCTATATGGGTCGCACACTTAAAATAGTGCTCAGTATTGCGCGACAATGCGCGAGAGTATCGAACGGAAGTACGACTAAACAAACCTGGCGGATTTTCTAAAATTACAGAGGCTGTAGCGTCGGCCTACAAAAACGATCGGCGAAATAAAGAAATTTAGCTTTTGCAGCAAAACTGTCTCAAAACTGAAAAAACGAAGGGCACCATGATCTGGAGAATATTTTAAAGAATTTTTTTTTGCGAAAACCGCCTGTCGATCGATGCAGCCATTAAGAAGCCTTTTGAATAGCAAAATTCGGCCACCACAAATAGATAATAAATATAGTTATATATATATATATATATATATATATATATATATATATATATATATATATGTGTGTGTGTGTGTGTGTGTGTGTGTGTGTGTGTGTGTGTGTGTGTGTGTGTGTGTGTGTGTGTGTGTGTGTGTTTGTGTGTGTGTGTGCCTACAGAAGGTACTAAAAGTCGGATTTTGACCATTTTGAAATAAGAATATGCTGGACACAGTGGTGTTTAATTTTTTTAGATGTCTCAAGTAGGTTTTTAGCTTTTGCACATTTTGTGAGCTAGCGTATAAAGATTTAATCTTGAGAAAATTAGCTTTTAAGTTTCGGACACATACAAACTTGAAATTGTTTCTAATGTATTCATTCATGGAAAATTCTTTTTCAATTTGGCATTCAGTTGACATCAATGTCATGATTAGAATTCAATAGTAAAACATAAGGGGGGGGGGGGGGAGAAAACATGCTTCGAGAATAGATTTTAACACCTTTTAAAAGCAGTTTTCATCATCTCTTTAAAATATACAATAGTCTCAAAATTATTTGAAATAAAATATTTAGAAGTCAAATCTATAAAAACCCTTTTAACACATTGTTAAAAAAATGGTGGAACTATCTTTTTTTTTTCAGAAACACATTTTGGCCAAAAAAGTGACTTTTTTGTCTTTATCTGCCTGTAGCAGATGGTCGTGTAGAGTAGAGGAGAACCTTGGTGGCACAGGTGCTTCAATAAATACCTCACAAACTCGAAGAAGGGACCATCTTGGCGACGGGAGGCGCCATAAATCCAATCAAAGCCCCCACCGCCTTGTGGGTTGTCAGTGGATGGCAAAGGATGGCAGTGACAACTGTACACAAACCGGCAGTAGGCAACGGGAAACCACTGCTGTAATATCCCAAGAATAGTCATGGAAAAGTAAAAGTACAACATCTTAAACAGGGAAATAAAAAAAAAAATTCAACGAAGCAAATGAAACATGGATAAATGATTAGTGTCAACAAATAGAGAAGAACCAAAACAAAGACGGCAAATACATGCATTCCAAAATCAAAGAAGCGGGATAAAAGAATGCTCAAATACAGGATGCATAAGATCAAAAGGAGGAGATATTTTAATGGACAACGGAGATGTCTTAAACAGATGGTCAGAATACATAGAGGAACTTTTCAAAGATACCAGAGGAGAAAAACCGGTAATAAAGAATGAAATAAATAGACCACCAATACTGAAAGCAGAAGTACAAGCTGTCATTGCGAAAATGAAACAAGGAAAAGCCACAGGGCCGGATAATATTCCAGTTGAAGTGATTGTCGCGCTTGAAGAACTAGGCACTGAAATAACAAAAAAGCTCCTAAATGTTATTTATGACAGCGGTGACATTCCTGAAGATATGATGAAGTCAGTTTTTATAGCTTTACCTAAAACACCAGGTGCCACTGAGTGTGATAAGCATAGAACAATTAGCTTTATGAGTCATTTTACAAAAATATTGCTGCGAGTAATAATGGGAAGATTGAGAAAAAGTGTAAGACCAGAGATATCTAAAACACAATTCAGCTTTGTTCCTGACAAGGACACCAGAAATGCTATATTCACCTTAACAATGTTAATGGATAGATGTATTGAAACTCTGAAAGATCTGTACTTATGCTTCTTAGATTATCCGAAGGCGTTCGATAAAGTTCGACATGATGAGCTATTTAAAATACTGTAAAAGCTAGACGTAGATGGAAAAGATCTAAGAATTATCAGGAATTTGTACTGGGACCAAAACGCTGCTGTACGAATTAATGGAGAATACTGTGAATATAAGCAGATCAGGCGAGGAGTAAGGCAAGGATGTGTTATGTCACCAGACCTCTTTAACATGTACAGTCAAACAATCCTTAGAAACTTAGAAGAATGTCCAGGTCTCAAAGTAAATGGAGAAAAGATTAATAACATCAGGCATGCAGATGACACAGTTTTGATAGCAGGCTCTGAAAAGGACCTTCAATTGCTTCTAGATACTGTTGTAACAGAAAGTGAACGTAAAGGATTGTTGTTGAATGTAAAAAAAAAACCCAGAATGCATGGTGATATACAAAAAAGCAGCAAAGCCTAGCTTTAATCTCATTATTAGCAAAGGTGAAAAGATCAAACTAGTCCAACAGTTTAAATATCTAGGATATATGAAAACATCTTATGCCAAATGTTCCACAGAAATAAGTCGGAGAATTACAATGGCTAAGGCTAGTTTCAATAAAATGAGCCCAATCCTGAAAAATAGAAACATCTCAATGAACACCAAAATGAAAGTTCTGAAATGCTATGTATGGTCAACACTTCTCTATGGCTGTGAATGCTGGACAATCACTAACTAAAGATAGTGAAAATAAAATAGAAGCTACAGAAATGTGGTTTCTTAGAAGACTGCTAAGAGCATCGTGGAAGGAAAAGAAATCTAATGAGGTAGTGCTTCATGAAGCCCACGTGGGTCGCTCAATGTTAAAAACAATCAGGAAACGACAAATGCAGTTTTTGGGACACATAAATAGACATAAGGGTCTTGAACACCTAGCTCTCACTGGCAAAATTGAGGGCAAGCGAGGCAGGGAAAGGCCCAGAACAACTTACTTGGGTAACCTAAACATATTGGTAACAGGGAAAGATCAGGGAAACGTAGCTTTTTTTAGAGCATCCGAGCAAAGGAATGAATGGAGATCAATGATGGCCGATGTCTGTCGCAGATCTGGCACTGGATGATGATGATCTGCCTATAGCTCAAAATGGTCTGTAGTGACTTTTGGTACCTTTCTCTAGAAATACACACGCTCGCACACACACACACTCACAAACACACACACACACACACACACACACACACACACACACACACACACAAACACACACGCACACACAAGCAGGCGCTCGTCAATTTTTGTGCATATACAATCATTTATTTCACCTTACAGCTAATTCATTTGCCTTGCACTTGGCGAAAAAATACCCATCTATCTTGAATAGAACTTGAGATATTTGTGATTGAAGGAGATGGGGGTCGACTTGTGTGAGAAGTAAAATTAGCAAAAAAATGGCTGCCAAAGAATGGCAACTTCCAAACCTTAAGTCGTGTTCTTGGAAACCGGAAATGTACCTTTCTGAGCCTTTTATTAACATTTTTGTGTAACATTAATTCAGAAATGTGTTGAGTCAAAAAAAGAAAATTCGAAAAAAGAAAATCACCTAACCCCTAGTGAAATGCCAGTTTCTTTGATTTCATTATTTTGACAAGCGCCTGATTTCACCACGATGCCTTACAATTAACTATCTAT